AAGAGAGAGACCAGGCAGCGAGAGACGAGGCGGCCGCGACTTCCTCCGTGCGTGCAAGAAGCGAGTCAAGTTCGCCGGCGGGCACACGCGCGCTCGCGCGTGTATGAGAGAGCGCACATCTACTTACGTGTAGTCGCTGTAACGCTATAGACGGGGACCAGGTAACAGCGTTCCCGTGTTACCGGTCCACGCGCGGCGGCCACGGTAATTTATTTAATGTAAGCGGCGCACACCGTCGCGCGTTCGACGCGTACGCGCGCGCGAGCGCGCGGACACGCAGGATGTTCCTCGAGACGAGCGGCACAGTTATCGCGTAATGGGTCCGTGCGTTTTAGCTACACTTTTCTAACGAGGAAAAGAAGACGGGGAATGCAAATATATAGAAAGCGTAGCTGGAAGAACAGGATTGAATAGGTCTCGCGAAGAGAGACGAGAGCACAATGCCGTGTTTCTCTTTCTTCATTTTTGTCCTCGAATGATAAAGTTACAGGGAAATTAGGGAGAAAAAAGGGAAATTCAGGATATTTATTTCGAGGAGAGAATTTCTTGTATATCTGGAAAAATTGGGAAATTCTTATGAAATTTTTATTGGGAATCTTTCTTATTAGATTATTTTAGTTTTGTATTTTTCTTTTGAAACTTTTCTGAGAGTTTCTCAAAAAATTCTCTCCTTGATAATTTTACACTTGCAAGTCAAGTGAATTATACATTTAGAATTTATTATGAACAGATATCTATCTTTGTTTATGTATTCGACGTCTAAACGAAATATTAAATGTGTGATACATAACGTTCATTGCAATTTTCAGCGATAAATAAATGAAAATGTTATGCGAGCGAAAAATGTTTAGCATTCGAGTTTCATTCAAGTGTTAGATTTGCAAATTTTTGAAAAAATTGAATAGCTTAAAATAAACATTTTCAAGTGACTTTATGTTTTTCTTTCGTATCGAGTGGAAACCATTAGAAATAACATACAATGAAAAAAAAATTTATCTCAGAAAAATTGCATAAAGAAAATTTTTAAATATTCTCTTTACCTAGAATTTTAAGCACAAAGAGTAGACACACTGAAAATCACTTGCTTTCGAACTTGATTATCGTTGCAGATTTTTATTTTTTTTTTGCAAATATGTGAGAAGCGTCATTCGGGGACTCGAGAAATGCCAGGACTTGCAGATTGGATTTTAGAATGCAAAAGGGAACGCGCGGCGCGATTTCGACGATGACGTCGTGGCGTCATCGTGCACTTTTGCGCGGGAGAGAACGTCGTAACCTCAAGAACCTCGCGAAGAAGGCGAGGCCGATGAATGCACGGCGATGAACGGGAAGGAAGGTGAGACGCGTATACACACGCTTCTGACCTCAAGAAACCGAGAGGCGAATGGGTAGAAGAGAAGCGGGAGGAGAGGAACGAGAGAACTTGCCTTCGCGAGAGGAGGAGGAGGAGGAGAAGGTGGAGGAGCAGGAGGGAGACTCCGACAACGGTCTGGCGCGGATCCAGCATACGTGCACGAACTCGAGGACTCTCGTGTGTGGTTTCTCCTCTTTGCCTTTTTTCTTTCCGCCGCGGGAATACGCGCTCTCGCAGGGCCGACGCGTTGGGGAGCCTTTGGTGCACCGAGAAACGTGCGATAATTGCGAAGAAAATCGAAAGAAATTTAACGAAAAATTTAGAATAAGTCGTATAAATATAAAAAATATCTGAGAATATTAAATGTTTAAAAAATCAATCCGAGCACTCGAATATTTGAATATTCAAAGTATGATGCACGCATGGATGTCCACGAATGGAGAAATATCTCAAACCACAATATCGTATTTTATGAAATATTGCATACTATTGTTTCCCTCTACATTATTCTGTCTAGATAAAGCTTCGATATTCCTACGAATATAACATTTATTTCCTGTTTTGCGAGCGAAGGGGGTGACCGAGTGCGCGGAGGGCCCAGAGAATCTCGAACCCTCCCTGTGCATGTACGTGAGGCTGAGCTTCTCAGGCTCTTCTCGACAAGTCGGATATTTTCCAATACGAGGTTATCAAATCTCGCGTGCGAAGGATGCCGAGAAGAGCTAAACGACAATATGTGATTATGTGTCCAATTGCCTTCCCGAGATGCAATCAAACACGTTGATGTGTCGGTATATGCGTGTATGTATGGTATCTAACATTTATATATACACATTTATATATATATATATATATATATATATATATATATATAATAGCCACGTATGAATATTCACATCCGATAATCGTCATATATCTCGCAGGAAATCCGCTCCATTATCATAAAAACCGAAACTGGATCTAACATGCGTTCGCTTTTCGATCGATCGCGAGAATAAAATCGGGACTCTTCTAATTGACGCGGAACAGCATAATGCACTCAGTGTAAAGCGTGTTACGCATAATTAAAGCCAAGATTATGATATTTCCGGTTTTAACCCAGAGTTCCCGAGTTCAAGAGAGAATCCAATGTTATTTTTTACGCAATTATCATGCTTTTATATTCGTTTTTTTCTTTTAACAATATAATGCCTTTAGTGCAATTTTGATGAGAAAATAATGCATTTATGAAAGAAATATTTCAAATATAAATTACATTCTTCAAATATTAATTTCATTCTTTTTTCTAAACATAATCTTTCTCTTTCTCCAAGAAATGATATCGAGGAAACTCTGATTAGAACGTAACAATGCCAGTGGGAAAGAAACGTAATAAAATGCGGAAAAAGAGGGAAAGAAAGGAGGGGGAGAGAGAGGGCATAACACGCGTTAGTCGAGTTGTACCGGTGAGGAATTGTACTTTGGAAAATTGCGTCGTTACAAAAAGAACTGCGCGAGAGCGACTCGCACGCAACGAGAGACCCTCTTGTACCCCCTGCCCCTCGCGTCCCGGCGGAAGAAACCCTTAATTGGTCAAGCAGCCACGCCACCGCGGGAAGTATACGGGACCTAGAGACGTGACTCGTGCGATGCGCATGCATACTCGCTGAGCATCGTCTGTGAGTCGGGAAATACGCACGCATGCACGCACGCGCCAAAAGTTCCGACATTCACTCTTTTCAAAATCGAGATTATCTCACGTTATGTAATAAATTGATATCAATTTTTATTAATTTTCGCCGCAAACGAAATTCTCAGATTCATTTATGAATGCATCAATTTTACGCGTAATTCCTCTAATTGCGAGCAATATTAATATATACATTTTTTCTCATGTTTACGTAGAATAAAATCGATTGAGCGCGCACGCAAGAGAGAGGAGAATAATGATTTTTTCCGCGCTTTGTACGCGATGGATTATGATGTGCGCGGCTGGATGTGCGAAGAACGCGCGATTACAACAACTGTTACCTCATTAAGATTTATAAATCGCGAGTTAATAGCGAACACGTCTAGGGAACATTGTGCCGCGATCCGACTTCGTTACGGTGATGTTCAATGCGGCGTTACAATGCGCGCGTCATATGCGCGTATCTGATTATCCGCCGACGATATTATACGCCGACGAGTGCCGGAGTGCCATAACACACGTCGGCGTGAGTGATTTCAAGCAAGCTGGCAGAGCGCACCTGTTGTGTCCCTCGCCGACGTCTTCTTTCCGTCTAGCGTCCGTCCATCGTTTTCAACGCGCGAGTTACGTTAACGGTATCCCGACTTGTGCGACGATAATACTCGGAAATCTCGTCCCTCTCCTCTCTCCTCTCCCCTCGGCGAATCGCCCGTAATTGTCTCCCAATTATTCGCGTAAGAGCGAGCGCGGAATTTCGATTTTCTTGCTCGCTGCGTAAAACAATAATCGAGAAACGCATGTTTCCGCGGCATTTTCCTCTCAATTAGCCAATGAGATGTGGCAAAGAAGTATTTACATTAATTTCCTAGCAGAGAATGAATGAAAAGATGGATGATGTGACTAAAGATGAATTAAAGATTTTTTTCTCCTAAAAATAGAACTAACTAAAAAAGAACTAACAATTATATGTAGTTTAATAAAAACATTGATTACGGAATGTAAAGAAAAAGTCGCGAACGAAAATAATTTCTTGAAAATCTCTAAACTCCGCTGCAAAATGTCGGAAGTAAATTGCGACTCGTCGAGGAGAATCCGACGACCTATCCGCGAGATGCACGCGCGCAGCCATACGAGTATCGCGGTCGGAAACGTTCGATGCCCCTTTCACCTCTGTGAGAAACACTCGCGGGGACCTCTCCTCCGCATCTTCCTTCCGACTCGGTCCCCCGCCGAGATGGAAGTGGCGCGGGAAAAAAAAAGAAGCACCGCGAGATTACGTAAGACGTATGGCAGCCTCGAAGACGAGGAATGGCGCGCGATCGGGGAATCGGCAACGAGCAACGACCGGAACTAGACGTGGAACAGCAGTGGCAGTGAACTCGAGGGGGGAAAGAGACGAAGACGCCGTCGTCGACGACGACGAGGTAGACGCGGCGTCGAAGCGCGTCGCGCGAGGGAAGAGATTGCCTTCCGAGACTAATGATAGTCTGGATTTTAGTGTGGCTCGTAGCATCAGCTGCAATACGTGTAATGACGATAATGATAATAATGATTGTAATAACGATGGCTAGCCTCGTGCGCGGGACGGTCGAGTTCGCCCGAGTCCTTTTTTTTTTCTTTTCGCTAGGACGAGGATCTAACATTATATATAATCCCGTAGCTTAACTACCTGACGTAACTCGACGCGAGATTGACCGCCGCGAACGAAATTACATCCCGTCGAATACACGTTCTCGTCGGGCAGAGTTTACATCCTATGTGATAATTAAAAGCGCGGATCCTGTCCAGAGGAAACGAGTCCCGAATAACATCTTCCCATTGAGCCGTTATATAAAAAAAAAATAGTTACATATATAGCCAATCGTTGGTTTTTTTTATGGGCAAGAAGCTCTTTTAATTATTTCCTCGTTTGATATATCGTACAAATTTTGACTTTATCGGTTCCTTCTAACAGTTTCCAATAATTCTGTCCAATAGATCTATCTCACGCTGCGCAGGCACGAGGTGAAGAAAAGATTTCTGCGTCATTTATTCTTTCGCCATGAGACCCCAATGACAACAATTGAACCGAAGAAACCCCAATGTCTTGGAATAATTCAGACGAACTGACGCAGGTAACTGACATAGCTATTCCAGGCGCGTGTTCATTCTTGCGTGTTTCCCTATGGAAAAAGTTCCAGCGCGTGGAAAACAGATATATCGCTGTCTACCTGTGCATCTTTTTCTCTTGAGCCAACCGACGTGATCTTATACTCGTTTTCATTTTCGAATGAAAAAACGAAAACTTGGCCGGAATATATTTTTTTAAATTAAAAATCGAGATCACGGTAAATAATGTGGAATAAAATATTATATATCGTATTATGTAATTAAAAATTTTCTATAAATGTTTCATATATTATATAAATTGCGCGTAAAATAACATAGCTTTTCATGAAAGGAGAAACTAGTTAGTGATCGGACTAGCTAATTTTATGATCGGATCTTCGCGTGCTTTTCTCCTCTCTCTCTCTCTCTCTCTAATTCTCTCTCTCGCTCTTTCTCTCAAGAGAGATACATAACAGTCGCTCCATACTCGTTTGGTAACATAGCCCGTCTCACAACGGGCTGCAATAATTTCCCCTACCTGGCCGCGGACGTTTACGCGGCTGCAACAAGCAACGCGTGCGCGTCGCGTTGCATAAGTGCTCTTCTCTCCTCGATCGCGACCTTGACTTTGACTTTGACTCTTGATTACGATCGCGACCAAGTAGCGGCGGTTGCCACCGACGTACGACATACGCGCGGTTTCGCAAGCCGAGCGAATGGGCGGATAAACCTCACCTCTCGCCTAGATACCTGCGTTATTGCATCGCGCGACCGAGTCACTGCGAAACTGCGACTCCGATTGCGTGTCTGGTTGGACGCAACGTTAGAGAACTGCAATTGCAATCGCGTAGAATTTAGAATTGGGCGCGATTTAATTTTTATAACAAAAGAAGAAAAAGGGAGAGGTGAAAAAGATGAATAATTATTTATATTCACTTGTACAAATTTTAATTATTATCTCAATTAGTGTCGCAATTCAATTTTTTTTTCTAAATACACAGAATGTAATTTTTCGATAGATAATTTTTAGAGTAAACTGCATATTATATATACAGTTGAATATATATACAGTTGAATATGCATTTTAAAATGACCGGCATTTTAAAATGACCGCACAAAGATTGGAAAGAGGGAGCAAAAAAGGTTATAAGAAAAGGGTAGATACTTTATTATTTTACTCCAGGTATACGGCTACAATCGTAAAAGATGCTATAAACACTAGTAATAGTATGTGTATTATATTTTAAGAGGAAATGTTTAGAAAAAGCTTACGGTAGTCAAATAGTTATCGAAAGAACGTTTAGAAAAGAAAAAGTAAGGGCTTCTCTTCCGGTTTTACCATTTTGATAAAAAATATTATATGATTCTTAGGGGATTTGAATAACATATATTTATTCTAACGTCTTTAAAAGTTATAAATTTAATGTACACGAAAAAGAATCTTTTGCTATTCTTTTATTAAAAAATGGAAAATTTGACTTTTTTAAAGATATTGAACTATGACAAGCATCATGACCGAATACATTTATATACTTTTCCCAGGTAACTCTAGAGGGTACATATATATATATCATCTTTCGCGCAGTTTAAATGTTTAATTGAGGATATTTAACAATTTATAGTCTAATAAGACACACACAATTATGATATAGAGTCCCAAGATAAACTCCGGAAAAGTATTCTTCAAAAGCATGATAGGACCGCACATGTATTAAAATAAAAAAGTGAATTTTAATTAAGAATGGAAAATATATTTAATAAAGAGGAAAAACTTGACGTTGCTTGCAATTTTATTCATAATTGCGATTATAGATCGCAACGATCTAAGAAAAAGACTAGGAAATATTAATAATTATTAATTCATCGATGCAACGGAAAGCATACGAGCACACATAAGTATGTAACACGCGATACAATCCTATCGCAATATCGTTTCTCTATATATAATGATATACGTCGAGAGAAATGCAAATCGATCGTCTGAGAATATGCGTCGACTGCTTGAGGTACTTAAGAAATATCCATAAAACCAATCTTACGTAAACTTATTACATAATTTATTCTACATGTGCTGCTGTGTTCCTGTTCGTACCGTTTATAGTTGCACGACTTCTTTATTCAATGTCAAGGATACCGACAATTAGAGATAAAAAGTTTTTAGTTATTCGTGATTCCGTGATTAAACAAATAATTTCAATTTTATTAGAAAGAATATAACGCGTTTAACAGAATAAAACACGTTAAAAATACTTGTTGGAATAGAAATTATAATATATATATATATATATATATATATATATATATATATATATATATAATTTATGTATTATATTTCTCGTCAGTTTCGTTTGAGTTTCTGTAACTTGAAATAGTGCAGATACTGCAGATTTAATCGATCGAAAATTCTGTGCCGCGAAGGCAACGCGCGAAGAAAATGTTTTATGCATGACCGGCAGAAATCTCCGAAAGATAAATAAAGCGCAGATCTCTCTCTTCTTTAGGACACTTTGCTTTACCTGCCCTTATATATCTTGCTCGGCCAAAAGATAAACGATCGAGATTGAACGCAATGATTTATACACAGGATCATTATGAATGCTCCGAAATGTGTATTCGTGACTCGATGCAACGCTTAATTATGTTAATTAATGTAATTTACTCGTTGATGTTAATTATTTCTTTAAGGAAAATGTCAATAAAATTTTTTTAGATAGAAAAAATGTGCTACTACTTATATAATTATAATATCACTATCATACTTATGTAATATTTAATTATATAATTTCATTCATATATCGTAGTTAAAATTTTATCGAATATGCATATACAATTTTTGTGATCGCGAAGAGAAAAATGTGTTTCCATCACGTCTCGAGATTTCTGCCTGATGACTACTATCCCTCCCCGTTAAGAAAGTCGTAAACGTTCTCACCCTCGAAAATTTTTTTTAGAAATCTTTGAGATCGAAAGATAACTGGTGCTGGACATAATTCAATGTCACTGTTTGTTTTAGATTGAAATCGATTAGATAAATATTTGGTCTTGTACAGATGTTGAATGCCTGCATAAACACCGTATATATTTTCCTTCGCTGGATAATCAATTTCTTTCTCATAACAATGCATATTTTTATAACATTTCTTTATATAGCTTGCTAGCAATATAAATATATCTGAAAATACACAACATTTAAATTTGTTTACTCTTTCAATGTCCATTTTATTCTGGAATAGGCATGAACGGTAAAAAAATAAATTTTGCTCCAAAGTAATGTGAAAATTAGGAAAATAAGATAAAGCAAAAAAAAAGTTATTTAATTCACTTTAATTTTTAAACGAGAATGACAAGGCTGGAGAAGGAGAGAATTGATTGCCCGGAAACGCGTCGAACAGTAAAACGTTAATTCGATCAAGAGGTGTAGCCAGGGACGGAACAACTAGTTTCCCTAGGAGAAGAAAAGGAAAGAAAGAAAGAAACAATGCAGTCGCCTAACGAGAAAGAAAACGGAGGCTCCGCGAGCGCACGCTCTCTCAGGACACACACCGTGTGTGACACACGTACGATACTCCGTTACGCGCATGCGCGAGGAGCGGTTTTCATCTCGGAGGATTGCAGGCTGAATAGTCCCGCTGGCTGGCTTGCGTTCTTATGGTGGGATGAGAAGGAGGGCCAGTTGACGGCCACGATGGTGGGAGACGAAGAAATCAACGGGGTCCGCGCGCGTTGCTCAGGTAGGTTGCCGGGTAGGAGGCGAGGGGTGCAGGTGGAGGGACTAGGATGTAGAAGGGAGGAACAGGCCGAGAGTACGGGGCCTGCACTACTGAGCTAAACATTCACGGATTCAGTAGCTTACGAGAGGCCTCACGGTTGAGTTTACGGTCGATTCGCGCTGCCCGTTGGAAACTGAGCTGTTGAGAAGATAACTGTAAATTCGCCGAGTGCAGGAAGTGACAGGCGTGTATGGACCTGGGTACCCTGTACCTATACGAGTATCGATTAAAAATTCAGTTCGCGAGTGACACTTTGATCCGAGTGTTGACTGGGCCCTGTTCGGGCTTCCGGCAATCGGGTTGCTGGACAATGAACCTGTCATTTGATTTGTGAAAAAAAACGTCCACGTGCGAATCTACTCGCATTCAGTTTAGAATTCACTCATGTAGATTCTCGATGATTGTCCGTGACGTGAAGTAAGGACAAGGTGATGAATTTACGAGATTACAAGTGGATTTAACAATTTTGTCGCAATCTTCTGTCGGCTGACGTCTTTCAAGTACTTTTAAGCATGACACTCTTGTGATCGTTACAGACGTGTTTCGCTTTGGGCGTTTTTTTTTTCATCTCTTGTGTCGCGAGCGATCTTGACTGTACTCGTAGCGGCGAAGCTCGCTTACCCCACTTCGATGTAGTGGTAGTGTAAGTGATAACGTCGTGCATCGCTCCCAACATCAGGTCACGATGCCAAAGATCTTTCTGATCAAGAACCGACTGCATCAGCAGTTGCGGCTGCTGGAGTCGCAACATACCAGTAAGAGCCCGCCACTTGGCAGCAAGGACAGCCCATTTGGCAGCTCGGAGCCGCTAAGTCTCATAGTCAACAAGGACCAATGTAAAAAACATTTTGTTTATGATTAAAACGGGAAATTGAAACCGGCATGATTTTGAGAATTTCTACATATATTTGTGACAATAGAATTGAAATTGATATTGGAAAAAACTACACATCAATTAATATAATCAATGATACTTATTTTTTCCTTAAAAGCAAAATTAAACTCGAAATTACATCGGTTTTAACTTCTCAGTTTAAAGTTTTTCACATTTTAATGATTGGCAAGTTTTTTAAACTACATTTTTCTTGCATTTAACGAAAATATTTGCATCGTTTTTTTTTTAATTTTTTAACATCTATGAATAGATCTGAAATTAAAAATTTGCATGTATCAATAATCGATCTAAAATTTGTCATAAAATTCTTATATAAAAACGTTAGCTTGCATTGGTTAAGACAAAACTTTTTTATATCATAAATTAAAAGAACAATTTGCATCACACTTTAAAGTTAAAAAATATAATAACATAGAGATTGCAATGAAATTTTAACAAATTAAATTATTAATAAAATTGTAGGATACCAAAAAGAAAAAAAAATATATAAAATGAAGATCACGTTGTTAGATTAAGTTAGAGTAACGAGAAAGTAAATACTGAAAAGTGCTAATTGGAGCCTTTACGTAGAAATAAAATTGTTCAATTATTATTGTTAGCATAATCGATGAATCGAATTATTTGAAGATTCATCGATAATAATGGCCATACTTGTTACATTATGAATATATCTGTGATAAAGAGATAAATAGGGAGTACATATTAAATCGCGGTGAAGAGATACGCTCTCGCTTATCTATATGACGCATCTCAAATGCATCGCGTTATCGCGGGAAAGGGATTAATAAGACGCATAAGACAATTATCTTCATCTTTTCGGTGTTGCGCACGCCGGCAATTTGGTATGCCGATTATTGGTATTACGAATTCGAAAAGCCGTTGCGTGTAAAATTAAGATATGGATCTCGACACAAGTTTAATCTGCGACGTAACCCGTCAATAAGTCGAACTACGGAGGTCCGGGTGCAAATGCAACTTTGTGGCTTCCCTCTCGTTACGGCTCGCCGTAACCTGCCGAGCAAAAAAGGAAGATAAAGGAGTGAAAGGGAGAGACGGAGAGAAGAGAACCCTCTCTCTCGAAAATGTTACACTTGTGCCGCAGGTGCGATCGTCTTTCGGCGTACAGGTGCGATTGCAATTTGTATACCCGGTTCCGGGGACGTTATCGCGCAGTTGCGCGTTTTTTGCTTTCGTGAATCATTAACGTGCCCATTATGCTAATTATTCGCATATGCCTATTTTGGACTCGATATATATTCAATCTTGGCAAAAATTCAATGGCTCTCTTTCGTATAATGATGCTAATCGCGTAGCCTTGCGTCCGTGAAAAACTAATTTTATCTCTATCCGTATATAACAATGCGGGATTCCCATGATGCTCCTTGGTTGATCGCGCGCGATCTTTCTTCTCATCGCAATGTTTCTCAATGATTCATTTGCCGGGCAAATGTTCTCCACGTAACTTGACATAATCGATAATATACCCAGTTACAACATCGAGAAGAAAAAAAGAGATTCGCAGATTTGTCGAGCTCGGTATCGAGTAACGACTGACCTTTGACAATCGGCGCACTTGTCCGCGTATTTGTGTGCGCCACGTGCAGTTAATTATATGAATCGTTGCTTTGCGCGGAACGCACGCGCGCGATTGCATAATGACGTTCGCGTCGCAGGAACGGTTTCGTCCGAAGCAACGGTCATCCCGCCAACCGCGCCGATGAGGAACGGTATAGTGAGTAAATAGTCGTAAACACAATTGAAATTTCTACTCGCCGCAAATATGCGTGCGATGATCGTGTTCAATGTATGCATTAGTGTACGCATGTATCAAGGTCGAGTTTGCGATAATGACATGGCAACTTCGAAATGAGATGCATACTTTGAAGACTACATCGCATCGAGATATCTCTGAAAAATGCACTCGAACGCAGATATACTCGTCTACATCTTTCGATGAGATATTATATTTGTGTCTCTTGGTTTATTTGTATTTTACAACTTTCCTCTAAGCGCATATATATATATATATATATATATATATATATATATATATATATATATGTAACGTTATCGTAAATCGTTACGAGTATGTAATTATTTCCTTTTCATTTACAGTTGTCGTAAAGATAAATCAAAATAACGTGACGATTGCTTGGAAACGCGTGCGCGACGGGGCATCTCGCTGCTAAAGTTTCGTTACATAATTCACGGCTGATTTTTCGTTTGGCTATAATAGTCCTCGGGCGGTTGTCTAGTCGAGGTCGATGCAGGGTGGTACTTTTACAACGGTATAGTGAGTAGTAGGACCGAATGTAGTCCTAAAACTGGTTTAGGAAAGTGACCGGCCGGAGCGGCTTCTCCTTCATTCCTCTTTTTTTCCTTCCTTTTCTGTTTCTCGCTCCCCCCTCGCTTCCTTCTCGCTTTCCGTCCGCCCAGGCGGACTCTGATTCTCGTTTTGCGTCAGGTTGCCACGCTCACGAGAGCACGAATAATACGCGAAACGCGGTGTCGATGGCCTTTTACTCCGATACCTACGATCACTATGCGCCGTCGCAGGTGCACGAGTTCCTCTCTCGGCCGGTGTGCGCGGTTTTATCACTAATTATATATTATATATATAAAATATATGTTAATTAAATATAATTTATATATAACGCGGAAATTTTGTATGCTCGTATCGTGTATCGCTTCCAACTTGGTATCTTTCCGGCTTCTCGATAAAAGTTTATCGCTATTTATTCGTGGTATGCTTGACCGATGCAGCCGCTCAATTAACGCATCAGTATCCAATTAAGTAATTTATCGTTCCCCGAATTTAATGACTCGCTGTATAAATTGGCGATCCATTAAACGCGCATCTCTTGGAGAGTACTTTTTCTCGTGCGTACGGAAGGAGGCTGTTGAGAGAGTCGTGACAATAAAATATTGTTATCTTGGACGCGAGCAAGATTCACGCGCGTATTTCGTCGCCAGCCGGAAAATCGTAACGTTACATAAAACAAGGCTCTCGGCAATTGTATACATCTTTATTTACATTTTCCGCGTCGGCGATCAAACGGAATCCAGATTGATGTGTACACGCAAGTTCTCGTAAAGCTACATCATTGCTATAACGTTTCCTGCGCTCGCATTATAATGAGCAAGCCAATACGCGCCTGCGCGCCGGAACGGAGACTTTAATGCTCGCTAGGCGATGCGTCGCGCTTCAATCTTCAATGCCGGGTTGGGAGAGAATTTTTTTCGAATAAGAATTCGAGGTTAAATTCACAAAATATAAAGAATTTTTACTAAAAATTTGTTGAAACACGTGAAGATTTCATCTGAAAATCTATTGGAGAGAATTTTAAAGAAATAATATATTGAAAGTTGTAATCAATTAAAAATATATATTATTGTTTTCGAAAATAAAAAACAATTTTATTTTTCCAAAAATATAATTGATAATAATATTCATCAAAGTCTCTTAAACATTTTTGTGCTGAATATGGATTTAACATATACATATATGTATATTAGATTATATATTTAAATTCATCAATATAAAGAGGTTTGCTCGATTTTAAAAAAATATAGAAAAATAAAAGGTTTGTTTTATTCGATAATATATAGAGAATATATCGATATGTTTTTAATCGATGCATCTTACGAAACCATAAGATTGAACAAACGAATATCAAAAATTTTTTTTTATTTTCTCTCTCTCTGTTTCAAAATCATATATTTTCATGTATGTCAGTTGATGGACAGAATTGATTCACGCGACATAACTGTCCTATGAGTGTACCATCTTTTTTCTATATCGTACTTCTTTTACGGATTCATGGCCGTGGCCTTAAAATGGCGGCGATAGATTACTTTTATCGGGAATGTTAATGAACTTCGTGGGTTATATTTGGCGTGTGTCTGTTGGGCAACTGGACTTGCTCTTCTCTCGCGTCCGTTAGAGCAGGAAACCTTCGGTTTCGCGCGAAAGTTGCGCAACGCGCAACGCAAAGCATATAAACCTGCTGTCAGTGATCTCTCACGGTCTCCGCGACGGCCAAGGCGATCGTGTCGGCATTAGAATCCACTATGACACGTAGCAACGAATGGTAGGGTATGGATAGAAGGATATAAGCACAATCTCGCAGTCACTGACTAGAACTTCAACAAAGAATACGAATCTCGCATTCCCCGACGATTGTAAATTCATTCGAATTTCTTATCAAATTTTTACTCTTTTGTCGCATTTACATCGCGACATTTTTAAATATATATAATATAATTTAATATATATATCTTTTCTTCTGATTCTCTCTCTTCTCGAGTCTCAATATAAATAAAATATTTTAATACCGTTGCAAATATTGTAGTATTATATTTAATAAAATGACATGTAGTAAAATGTGATGATTCTTTAAAACTCATTAGAGAAAAATAATACATATAACACAAAAAAATTTAAGACACAGATTATAAAATTTCTCAAATTTAAATATGCTTGGTATACAAACATATGTATCTGGATAAATGAGAATGTTAATTGAATGCAATCAGTTTCTTTTATTTTTAATTTATTTATTATTTCATAAGACTCGCGGCAATTCAGACAAACTGTATGTTTTCGAGATGTTTACATCTTCTATATCGATTGGGATTCGTAAAAATAGGTTTATAATTTTTATAACTTATTCATATCACTTATTTTATTTTTTAACAACTGATACTTGAGCTATCTTTAGCGCGCGTTTAACTTTTTCTCAAATCTTTGTGCATGCATAATCCTCACTAACTACAGCGCTAGAATACTAATGCGTTTTGCGCCGCTTGTCTCTCGATCGCAGCGTCATTCTGGATCAAGCTCGGAGTGCACACGTTTTATGCAATTGCAGTGCGACGCACGCTCATTCTACTTACTAGCCGCACCAAAAGAGGATTGTTATGTGTATGTGTGTAAAATGC